CAGACACAATCAAATTGAACATTACATTAACTTCCAAATTGCTATCGACTCCAATGATGTCCTTGTGGCACACGCTTCAAAATAAGTCATCCATGCGAGAATCATCCTTGGGGGACATTCTTCGGTTTTGTAGGTGATTTCCTCAGCGAACCTAGATAAATGGAAGGACTAGCTCCTTCGTATTACCTTGAGGTGAACCGTCCTTCTTACGGTGCAGTCAAGACTCCATTTTAACAAAATCCCTAAGAATTCTAGATGGATTACTGAGCATTTCATTAAAATAGCAAGTGAGAAGTGGGGTTCATTCAGATGATTTACACTGAATGCGGTTCATGGCAAAATCTTCGACATGCACGTGGGACAACTTCGAAAGCCAAGCGGCCATTTTTCGTGCATGGTAGAAGCACACCCACAGGTGGAACATTTGCGTGGATTTTTTCAAAGTAAATATGACTTTTATCAATAGAATATTGTAAATTCAGCTATCTTGTATAGGATATATTGTTAAACAGTCACCGAGCATTGACAGGCGTTTCTGCTTCCAACTGGTGCGGTGTGAAATGCTTCCGAATGGGCTATAGAATGCGAGGTACATAGTGTAAGGTGAACGAGCCGTGTTCAGTATGAGTCACATTGGCTTGTCTGTTTGTCTCAGACTCACTGCTCATGTTCTCATAGATGCAGTCTGTGGGACGTGATTCACCTCCAATACCATCTTGGGGTTTCGGGAAATGACTATTTTGTTGCTTTCAACTTCCAATGGTGTTGACCAATAGAAGATATATGCCGTGAATTCGTGAACCTTACGCCAATTCACTTTCAGCTTGCATTAGCTAGCGCAAGCGAGTTATGGTCTAATTCGATTGTTGAGGTGCAATCAGGTACAAACCCCTGGGAGCCAAGCGTGTTCGCAAGCAAACTACTGACTGGACAATGTAGAAAACCTATGGTATGCGTCACAAATAGATACGAAATGATGCAGACCTTGCAGAATATCCGGATGGACATGGGTAGTACACTTATCATGAAACACTGCGCTTATATTTCAAGGTCGTCCCTGAAGACGTTCCAAGACAACTCGAGGATCTCATCCTGGCTTGAACTTACCACGATAACTTGAGACGCCCACGTAACCGGACTGCTGCCTGGCGAAATACATTTGCAAAAACCAATTTGGTTTTGCGAAAGACCCACGTGGAACCCAGCTAAATCTCTCGTTTGTAATGTTTCCAGGCAACTGAATGTACTGCAGCAGGCCGCCTCAGGATTCAGTTGACACGATATACGAGAGGTATGTATATTCGTCATGCACCACTCATAAGGTTGCTGAAAATTGTCCGACATCCCACGACCGGTTTCTCCCTTCTTGATAGGCACTGTCCTCGGATTTCCGTAATCCTTATGTTCTACTTGAAAACGAATTGCACTCATTTGTATACAAATTTTGTTTCGTGAGAGACTCACCGTGAACCTCGATGAATCTCTCATTTGCGATGTTTCCAAGCAACTGAATGTGCTGCGCCAGGCAGCCTGATGTTGTATTTGGCATGATATCGCAACACAAGTATATTCGTAATGCGCCACTGCTGTTGGTATGTCAGTTTTTGGGGTACATTTGGGCCGAATGTCGCAGTAGTTCAGCTAAACACAGTGGCAAAAAGTCACAAATAATTAGAACAAAAAGAACACGTTAACCGTGATGCTGAGAGGTCATGATAGCTAGACTCACACTTGAAAAGGGAAATGAGGAATTGGTTAATTAGCCCAAAATAACGATCTAGGTGTTCCATGTGACAGGTAACGTGTTACACTGACGTCCCACACTGACTTCAAACCTAACTAGTCAACAGTCTTTCCCACTGTGTCATACTGAATTACCGGCAGAAACATAATTGGGGTGAGTAAACACAAGGTGTGGATTAGGGTAGCGAAGTAAACAAGGGACATCGTCGTGGTTGGCACTGATTACGTCTCATCGTATTATGGCGAAGCGTTTGCAAGTCAAGGACGGTGAACCGATCACTAGCCATCCAATCAACAACCAGTACGTTCTGACTCACACCCCAACGGGTTTCTGCGAATATGTCTAAGGAACAAGAGTACCAGATCCGTGAAAGTAAGCAAAAGAGTTTTGCAGAAACAAATGCCGCGACTTAACCCTCAGCCTTCAAAAAGCCAGTTGAAAAGCAAGGTGAGCAAACAGACACTCTTCCATAAATTCAGACGATGTGAACAGAAATGTACACTGAAGCTGTTGTGCTTGATGAGATTCAGTTGAACGTGTGGCACAAAATCATCCTCAGCCGGGCTTGAGAAAATGCCTGAATAGTTCAGTCCGCATTCTGTTTTTGTTTTCCTTCTTTACATTACTGCACTTTTATTTCCATTCCCTTATACTTGAACCTTTAAATTTAGAAGTTCCGCTCCCTCGTCATACAATACAGTATGAACTGATACCTTGCTGGTCTAGAAGTATTCCATTCATCTAATGCTGGGGTCAATCACGCGACTATTATTTGTGTTGCTTGGTTCAATGTGGATGTGCAACATAGTAGACAGGTTGCGGCTCTGCTTTGTAGAATCCTTTGCGCAACGATGCGACTGCAAACGGAATAGTTCAGCTAGGTGGCACAATTTGAAATGGCCAACGGTGTCGGAGTGACAGATCGAGCATCCGTCGACAATATTTGAGCCAGAAAACTTCCTGGAAAACTTCTTCGTACTGAAACTTCTTGACAATTTTTTACCTGTATCACAGATATCTGATTTTCAGGAGGCTGCATAAAACCTGCCTTTTATCATACACTTTAAACTGTATTGCAAATAGTTGCGTAATTTAGCCTTCCTTGGGGCAGATCCGTAGCTTTGTCAAGGAAATCCTAAGTAGGTATTTTGTTGATAAATCTCAAGACGTCATAATTCTTAACCTGTGAGTTCAATTGGGCTTTCCAGAATACGTCGGTGAGTATTCAAACTTGAGTTAGTGAGCTAGTTGCACTGGAACATCCAATTCATAAAATGGATGCGTTCCAGACCCTAGCGAATTAACACGCAGTTTTACGCATCATTGCTAAGCGACTACGTGTTAGATTTAGTACAATCTTTGGAGTTATCTCAGAGATATTTGACTGCTCGTGACTAAGGGGAATACTAAGCCAACAATTGGAAGGACTGCCACTGTGAGTGTCTCCCGAATTCGTCCTGGATGCGAAAGGCACATTAGTGGATCACGTAACCATTTGAACTTATCGTTGTTACGGTTCGATTCGGCGAACTCTTCGACTGCGGTGCAACCGATATTGTGCAACTGTCAGCAGATTGGTTTGTGGTCGCAATATGTAAGTGAGGAGACGCCAATCCGTTCTTATTTAGCTGACTGATAATATGGGTTCTCAAATACCCCATCGCTTTGTGCCAAGAATTCGATCCTCGCTATTTCGTCGAACGCTGCGAATGCACAGGTGATCCACAATTATTACTCGTGTGGCATATGTGCGCGTTATTTCTGCATCATTCTGAAGACTTTTAACAACCGAAGTCAGAATTGCTTTTTCGCCTAGCTTATCTTTCAGAATTGATGAACGAGCTGGACATCTTTTGAGAAGCCAAGGAGTGCTTCACGAAAACGACAGGTTTATCAAAAATGGGACAGTAATATACACGAGAGTGGTGTAAGGATGAACAAAATTCAGTAGCTCGATAATGAAATATCGGCTGAGGTGTTAAATTATCCACTTCATTCACGAGTCCCACATGTGGAAAACCAAATGTTCTCTACGAACAGGTGACGAGAAATCATTGACCGGACGTCTTAAATGTTCAGGACAATCACCGCACTCTACCCCGATATGAGTAGTATATTTGTGCTGCAATGAATTCACGCTACACTCATTTTTAGATGTCGACAACACAAATTTCGATAGCATGCCTGGATTGTAAACAATCAGACGGTGGTCGGAAACTGAAACAGGTGGGTGGAGGGATGACAGCAGGCCAAGTACACTGACTCCCAATAATGTTACACAACGCTGTAGGTCGCAGGTAAAACCAAGCTCGGTGTAAGGACAGCAAATAAGTTTGCTATTCATTTGGTGGGG